CATTTAAAAATTTTATATGGATAAAGACTTCAGATATTTGTATTGAGAATGTATTTTAAATATCGCAAAAATTTCAATATTGCAGTTTAAAAATCGATGAAATTGTTCTTTATTGATATTTATTTATGTCATTTACTGCAGAAATTATCTCTATACTGTTAAAATCAGTACTGGTAACAAAAAGGATATTCACATAATAATATCAAAAATTAAAAATATTTATATCATCCACGTATATAAACATCCACATAGGGCCTGAATGGCCGAGTGGCTAGCGCTCTGGCCCTCGGTACCACAGGTTTCGGGTTCGAGTCCCGGCGGTGCAATGGATGTTTGTAGTGGTTCGGAATCCACTTTAAATTGTAGGCCCCGGTCTAATAGGATCGTAGAGCTCTGCGGGGGCATTGTTACTCCGCGTCCGTGGCTTATCTTCAAGTTACACGTGCCCCCTGGGTAATGCAAAGTGAATAACGTCTGTGCAGCGCTTGCCTTAAGGCATCCAAGACCAAGCTGTCTAAGTGTTTGCCAGCTGCATTAGAAAGAAAAAAAAACATCCACGTTAAAATTACTTATTTAACGACCACATTAAATGTTTACTGTCATTTTTTTTAATTCGCAATTTGTTATTATTCAATTTTGAACATGAAATATAATCTTACGTCCACGTTACGTAACAGCACGTCCGTGACAACCTTAAGTCCCTCGTGCCTCCTAATGAGCAAAGGCTATGGGCTAATGACTCTTTTAGGAGATTTCAGCGCACAAAATTAAGTCATCGTATATTAGCGAATTATAAATACCAAAGCCAACGGCCATACCATGCTGAATATACCGGTTCTCGTCAGATCACCGAAGTCAAGCATCATTGGGCGCGGACAGTACTTGGGTGGGTGACCAGCTGGGAACACCGCGTGCCGTTGGCATTCACAAATTGGGGACCTGAATGGCCGAGTGTCTAGCGCTCGGTGCCACAGGTCTCGGGTTCGAGTCCCGGTGGTGCCATAGGTGTTTGTAGTGATTCGGAATCCCCTTTAAACGGTTTTGGCGTAGGGTTTGCAACGCATCTCATGTTTCGAAATCTGCTATTATACAGACGCACTTCGCCCACCATGGGGCTTTTGCGCCAATGAAAAAGAATGGTTTGGTTTGTCGTTCTACGTTCCTTTTTTACCTCATTTTAGGCTAATTTAGTCACATTTTTAGGCCACATTTTTTACCACATTGAGGCACTCGGATGTGTCATGGTTGTTTGTAGTGGCTCGGAATCCACTTTAAGCCGTAGGTTCCGGTCTCCCATGACTGTAAGAGCGTCACGGAGCCAAAGTCAGACTTTTACCTACGGGTGCTCCATCACAACAGAAGCTGCTTCCTTCCCCTTCAATCATGAGTACGTATGGGCTCGTGGGATTGGCCAGCCAAGTGGGATAAGAAACAACAAACAAACAAGCAACATAAATACCAAGGGAAAAGTCGGGGCCACAATCGGGTGTGACTGGAGAAAATTTAATGGTAAAACTCGCAAAAAGTCCGCTGCCCATTTTAGATTAAGAACTGGACACGACTATCTGGCAGAAGATCTCATCAAAATAAGGATTGCGAACTCTTATAGATGTGTTTTATGTAAGAACAGAGAAAATTACCATTTAATTATTTGCTGGGGGCTGGACTCCTAATACAACAGAATGGGGACTCTTTATTAGCGGGCCGGAGAAAACATGTCCTTATCACACGAACTTTTATTAGCGTGCTTATAACTTCTTAAAGTTTTATCTTTAGAACATTTAAATTGATTTTAACTGTTTTAAGGCCTTTTGGCAGTTTTTGTTAAGAATGCCTCATCTTTTCCCTTTGCGATTTCAATTTGTTTATATGTTATTTGTTTCGACGGTAAGTGACCAAATTTGTATGGATTGAGTTCCAATAAAGCCATAGGTAACAACAACAACAACAATTTTGGATATATATATATATATATATATTTTCAATGCAGCTGGCAAACAGACATGGACGTCTTAGATGCCTTAAGGCAAACGCTGCACAGACGTTACTCACTTTGCATTACCCAGGGGGCGCGTGTCACTTGAAGATAAGCCACGGACGCGGAGTCACAATGCCCCCGCCACGCTCTACGATCCTATTAGACCGGGACCTACGGCTTAAAGTGGATTCCGAACCACTACACACATCCATGGCACCGTCGGGACTCGAACCCGACACCTGTGGTACCGAGCTCCAGAGCGCTAGCCACTCGGCCATCAGGCCCCACATTAATTATTCAAATGAATTAAATGAATTAAATTATGGGCCATTCAGGCCCATTTTTTGGATATATTGATCTGAAGTTATTTTCACCAACAGCTGCAAAAATGTAGCACATTCAATATTATCCAGTATATACAATGGGTTCTGTTACAGTTAAAGCTTAATTTACCACTATTATTTGGAATACACATTTCCAGTATCGCACATTATTTCCCACTTTTCAAACCACATTGAATGACTTTTACGTTCTACATATTTATCGTACTCATCCCTAGAATGATCAAGAATAAATAACGAAGCTTTTAGTACATTATCACTTATCAAGTTTCGAACCTAATTTCCTAGTTAGAAGGTCTAATATACTATCCACTTGGTCACTCCTGTCTAATTTGTAACTCTAAGTATACATTTTTCCCTGCACTTTTCTAAATTTATTATATATATAATTTTCCTATCAAACATTATATCATGTATGCTATTTGATGTCAAGTTGCCAAAAAAAGTTATATAATATTCTCGCTTTTTTTTCTAAATGTTATTCAATACCTGAGATTGGTCATTTTTCATTTTCATATTTACCCTATAATCATAAAATTAATTAGCTCTACGGTTTGCTGAAAAGGATTGATCAATTCACTTTTGATACCATGCCAGTAAAATTGTCTTGAAAATAGGTCAAACAAGAAAAAAAAAACGTATTTTTACATTAATGTGATAGTACATTTAAAAGTTTGGATTTAGTTTAGTAGAAATGAAAATTTGAAATTGCGATTGGTAAATTTACACAATGAAAAATATGAAGGACACCTTTTCAAAAGAGTTTTTTATTTCAAAAGCAATTAAGTAATGAATTTACTTCGATCTAATTGAAACATCATACCATAGGGGGAATTTCTTTGATAATAAAATGGAAAATAGTTACTATAGAAATACAAGGAAGTTTGCGTCTTATCGATAAAACTAATCATGATATTAAAAAAAAAAAGGAAAAAATAATTTTAGGTTAAATCGTTTTACTTTTCTTTGTCAGATTTTTATCATTCGTGAAAATGATGATAATAACATTAGAGTTGTAGGACCTGAATGGCCGAGTGGCTAGCGCTCTGGCGCTCGGTACCACAGGTTTCGGGTTCGAGTCCCGGCGGTGCCATGGATGTTTGTAGTGGTTCGGAATCCACTTTAAACCGTAGGACCCGGTCCTAATAGGATCGTAGAGCGTTGCGGGGGCATTGTTACTCCGCGTCCGTATCTTCAAGTTACACGCGCCCCCTGATTAATGCGAAGTGAGTAACGTCTGTGCAGCGCTTGCCTTAAGGCATCCAAGACCAAGTTGTCTAAGTGTTTGCCAGCTGCATTGGGAAAAAAAAAAAAAAAAAAAAAACATTAGAGTTGTATTTTATAAAAATATGAAATAAAAAGTTATTGTATTATTTCTTTTTATTTTGTAAAAAGTTTTATATTGAACAATAATTTAGTAAATTGATTCAAAGTTTAATTAACGAAGTTTAATATAAGAAAAAACTATAAAAGTTTTAAATAAATAACAAAAAACAATTTTTTGAACTGTAAAACAATATAAGGAGTAAAATATAATCAATATTGTTTTGATTAATCACCCGCTATATTTATTTACTTTTAAATAAACATTGATAAGCATAAAGTGATTTGTTTTACTTATTAAGGACTAGTTATTATTGTTGTTTGACCCTTTTTGGTTTGGTTTCGTATAAAATATTTACTATCGAAATAGAAGGATGTTTGGTATTTATCTATAAAATTAATTATGATAATGTAAAAAAAAAGGAGAAACGTAATTTAGACATAAATATTTTAATTCTCATCGTCAGATTTTAATCATTCGTGAAAATGATGATAATAACGATAGTGTTGCATTGACAAAAATATGAAAAGAAAAATTATTACGTTAGTTTATTTTTCTTTTGTAAAAAACATTTTGTTGAACTGTAACTAAGAAATTTTATTCAACATATAATTAATGAAATTTAGAAGCTTTATATAATTAACAAAATTTTTATTTTTATATTTTTATCACTATAGGAGAAGTGAAATATAATCAATATTCATCATCATCATCAAGCAGCATGACAGCCCAGAGCGGGCCAAGACTTTCCTTTCCAATAATCAATATTGTTTTTAATAATAATGCGCTAAATATTTAAATATTTTTTTATTTATTTACTTTTAAATGCACATTGATAAGCGCAAAGTGATTTATTTTAGTTATTCAGAACTAATTATTATTATTATTTTACTCTTTTTGATTTCTAACTTTAAAGGAAATGGCAAATACAAAAATCAGGTTATAAGTCAAAACAATGTACGTTTTATATGCATTTATTACCATATCAGTACCTCATCATCTAAAATTTCTCTATTGTTGAATTTAAAACTAATATAAATACATTTAAAAAAAATCCGCTACAATTTTCGGTTTATTATAACTATACATGCAACTATACTAGACCGGAAAGAATATTTAGATAATGATCATATAAACTTTCTTAATACCGCAAATTCCCCAACCTTCAATGACACAGTAAATCAATAAATCAGAAATTACTTACGATATTTCAGAAAACATTTACAAGTTCAATAGCCATAAAAATCACAAAATAATAATTTTTCCTAACTAAAACTCTTATCAACATCATTCCGTGGCACAAATTATTCAATTTGGATTCAATTGTACATATTGTTTTCTATATGTTATTGCGCCAACGGCCATACCATGCTGAATATACCGGTTCTCGTTCAATCACCGAAGTCAAGCATCATTGGGCGCGTGACCACTTGGGAACACCGCGTGCCGTTGGCATTCACAAAATTGGGACCTCAACGGCCGAGTGTCTAGCGCTCTGTGCCACAGGCTTCGGTTTCGAATCCCGGCGGTGCCATGGATGTTTGTAGCGGTTCGGAATCCAATTTAAGCCGTAGGTCCCGGTCTTCTATGACTGTAAGAGCGTCACGGAGCCAAAGTCAGACTTCTACCTACGGGTGCTCCATCACATCAGAAGCTGCTTTCTTCCCCTTCAATCATGAGTACGTATGGGCTCGTGGGCTTGGCCAGCCAAGTGGGATAAGAAACAACAACAATAACATATGTTATTGCCAATGCCAGTTTTATTAACTTAATAGAAACGTATAAAATAATTAATTCCCCATAACTTTTAAAAACATTCATGCATTATTTAATCATGTTAAGGTTTCTAAAAGCTAGAATATAGATCTTTTGCCAGGTTTTCCCCATTCCCCATCACTACGTCGTATAAATTATTAAAATATCAATTTGGGTTCAATTGCACATTTTGTTTCGCTGTATGTTATTGCCAATGTCAGTTTTATTGAATTTGTCGAAATGCATAAAATAGTCAATTCTCTAGGATTTCTTTAAAACATTCATACATAATTTAATCATATCAAGGTTTTTAAAATCTTGAAGATCGACAATTGTCCACGCTTTCCACGATCACCCATCATTCCGTGCTACAAATTAAAAAAATAACAATTTAGGTTCAATTGCGAATTTTATTTTCAATACGTTAAGGTCAATTTTATTAAATTTACCAAAATGCATAAAATAATTAATTCTTCAAGGCTTTTAAAAACATTAATGCACTATTTAATCATAGCAAGGTTTTAAAAACATTAAAGCACTATTTAATCATAGCAAGGTTTTAAAAACATTAATGCACTATTTAATCATAGCAAGGTTTTAAAATCTTGAAGATAGATCGTTGTCCAAGTTTTACAAATGTCAGATTTATGAGACATATTCTCATTTTTGCAACACAAAATCTGTATTAGGACAGAATCAAACCTTTTCCTTTCTCATTCTAGCAACAGCCCAAAGTTGTCTACCTACTGACAGAAGATGTTGTTTTTTTAAAGAGTAGTAGTTTTTTTTATTTTTTTTTTACAATTTCCGATTGTCAACCCTGCGCCTAGAGGCCTGCATTCCTATTAAGCAGGTTAAAGACTGCGGTTTAAAGCAAATTCGACCCACTACAAACATTCATGACATCGCTGGGACTCATACCAAAAACCTGTCGCACCTAGTGCTAGTTACTCTGCCATCAGGCCCCCAATATCAAACCTACACATGATAATAAATAAGGAAATGCATCTGCTTTCCGTTTCTAAGCAAAACTAAGATACTTTTATGTTTGTCAGATAATTTGCTAAAAAACAAAATTGTCTCTTTTCAAATGCATTCATTCAATAAACTCAATCAATAACGAAGTAGTTTTAAAAAAAATAACATTGGAATTATTACTCTGATATAACCACACACGAAACTCCGAATAAATTAGAAAATTGCAAAGCAAAATCGAAACTTCGAAATAAAATACAAAAGATGGAAGACTTCGCTAATAAAAAGTGGTATTTTAATCAAGATAAAACAGAGAAGAAGATCCGATTCATTGAAAGAGACGGCACTGTAAGGAAAGACGTATACGATGGAGGCTTACATGTAATGTGTAGCGTTGCCACAGCAACCATGGTAAGCAGAAAAAAAAATCTTGCCCTGGTAAGTTTTTATGAAGGCAAATATTTCCGATTGATGTTCCAGTGATCAAAGATACTTAAACTGGGCCTTTAAAGACACTGATTAATTTGTGAAAGAGACTAAATGGATTATTATGCTCTCGTGGAGACAAGCTGGGATTCCATTATCTTCTTGTTTGCTGCAGAGGGGTGGTGGGGGGTATGTATCACTTTCACTTATGATAGAAGGGGGAATGGTTTAATTGGATCATTTTATGCTCTAAGTTCTTTTTGGGATGTAAAGATTTCGATGAAGTGATTTTGATGAGGTTTCTCTTTAATTTTTTCTTTATTTGGTTAAGAAAAAAACTAATTTCGAATGATAAATTGCTAATGTTTTTTTTTAAAAACTAATTGTGGAAAATCGCAAACGAATTTTAATGTATGTGCATTTATTTTAGTAATTTAAAACAAATAAGCTCACGATTGTACTGGTTCGGAATCCACTTTAAACACTAAGACAACGTCTAATATGACCGTAGAAAGTTGGCCATAGGGTCTTCTGCACCCAGCAGTAAAAATAAACATCTGATGTGTTTAAGTATGCCAGTAGGCAGAAGACCTTGGCCCAACAGAGATTGTAGTGCCAGGGAGTTAGTTAAATTGCATGAAAAAACGAAATACATTATATTCTTAGTAAAACAGAATCAATAGAATTAAAATAAATAATAAAATAAACGAGCTATGATTAGGTTTTGTTCCAAATTTGTGAGATGACTTCACTGTGTTATTTTTTTATCGAACAAAGAAATTGTTTCAAATTTCGTCAATAAGTTATTTTCCTCATTGTCGCAAAAGTCTCATCATGGGCCAACGTCTGCTGCCTACTGCCTACTGGCAGATTTAGAGACAGAAAATGTTCTCTTTTACGGGATAGAGATGTCAGCCCTACGCCAAACCGTCATACTGTACTTTGACCTACGACTTAAAGTCAATTACGAATCACTAACAAGCTTTCATGCCACCGACAGGACTCTAATATGAAATTGTGTGGTGCCAAAGGACAGATTTATTTGTGTCAGATTTATTTGCATACATTCAATTTTTTCAGAACAGAATCCATACTTGGATAATATCAAATATATATATGATAATAAATAAGAAAACACATCAGCTTTGCATTTCTAAGCAAAATTTGGATAGTTTTAAGTTTGCCATATAATTTGCTAAAAACAAAACCGTGTCGTTTCAGATACATTTATTTAATAAACTCAATCAATAACGAAGTAGTAAAAAAACCATCAGTTGAATTATTACTGTAATATAACCACAAACGAAACTTCGAATAAAAATTGGGAAAATTACAAGGCAAACTCAAAACTTTGAAATAAAGAATGAAACGAAGGAAAAATTTGCTAATAAAAAGTGGCATTTTAAAATGAAGATAAAACAGAAAAGAAGATCCGATTAATTGACGGAGACGCACTGTAAGGAAAGACGTATACGGCGCAGGCTTATCTGTAACGTGCAGTGTTGCCTCAGCAACCATGGTAAGCACAAAAAATAATCTTGCCCTGGTAAGTTTTTATGAAGGCAAATATTTCCGATTGATGTTCCAGTGATCAAAGATACTTAAACCGGGCCTTTAAAGACATTGATTAATTTGTGGAAGAGACTAAATGGATTATTACGCTCTCTTGGAGACAAGATGGAATTTCATTATCTTCTTGTTTGCTGCAGAGGGGGATGTATCACGTTCACTTAAGATAGAAGGGGAATGGTTAAATTGGATCATTTCGTGTTCTAATTTCTTTTTGGGGAGTAAAGATTTTGATGAGGTTTCACTTAAAATGTTTTCTTTATTTGGTTAAGAAAAAATGAATTTCGAATGACAAATTAATGCTTTTTTAAAGCTGATTGGGGAATATCTCAAACAATTTTTAATGTACATCTATTTATTTTAGTAATTTAGAACAAATAGAAGAACGAAAAAGTTCCTGATAGCCTAGTGACTAGCGCTATAGAGCTCGATATCACAGGTTTTGGGTTCCAGTCCCGGATGTGGAATGGATGTTTGTAATGGTTCGGAATCTTTCTTTAAATCTTTCCCCATTAAACAGTATTTTCTGGTCTAATATCATGTCAGATCGTTGGTAATTGGACAACCCTACCCCGTTAAAAGAAAGCATCTATTGTTTCGGGATCTGCCAGTAGGCAGAAGGCCTTCATCCACCATGAACTGTAGTCCCGGGGTTTGGTTTGATTTGTCTTTCCTCGGTCATTTTGTACACACTAATTGAACCAAGACCTACAGTTTAAGACACAGTTACTACAGGTTAATTCCGAACCACTAACAAACATCCATGCCAACGCCTGGTTTCAAACATGAAAGCATGTGAAACCACAAGCCAGATCACTAGAAAACTGACTATCAGGGAGCTTTTAAATTCTTGAAGATAGATCTTTGTCCGTGATTCACCGATTTATTTGTCTTATTCTAAATTTTTGCAACACAGAATCTACATTAGGACAATATAAAACCTACACATGATAATAAATAAGAAAATACATCTGCCTTGCTCTTCTGTACAAAACTTGGACACTTTTATGTTTGTTATATATTTTATTAAAAATGAAATCATGTTGTTTCCTATACATTCATTTAATAAACTCAATAAATATGGAAGTAGCAAAATAACAAACATCAGTGAAATTATTGCTCTAATATAACCCTGAACGAAACTTTCAATAAATTGGAAAATTGGAAGCCAAAGTGGAAATTTCGAAATAAAAGAACAGAACGAGGGAAGACTTCGCTAATAAAAAGTGGCATTTTAATCAGACGATAAAACAGAAAAGAAGATCCGATTAATTGAAAGAGACGGCACTGTAAGGAAAGACGTGTACGACGGAGGCTTATCTGTAATGTGTAGCGTTGCCACAGCAGCCATAGGAGCCACACACAAAAAAAAAATCTTGCTGTGGCAAGATTTTTATGAGGGCAAATATTTCCGATTGATGTTTAAGTGATCAGAGATACTTAAACTGGGCGTTTAAAGACATTGATTAATTTGTGGAAGAGACTAAATGGATTATTATGCTCTTGTGGAGACAAGATGGAATTCCATTATCTTCTTGTTTGCTGCAGAGGGGTGAGGGGAAAGTATCACTTAAGATAGAAGGGGAATGGTTAAATTGGATCATTTTGTGTTCTAATTTGTTTTTGGATAGTAAAGATTTCGATGAGGTTTTTCTTAAACTCTTTTTTTTTTATTTGATTAAGAAAAACTCGTTTTAAATGATATATTTCTTAATGTTTTTTTAAG